GCCCCCCCCCCCCCCCCCCCCCCTCTNCCAAAGAAGCATCATAATGTAGAAAAGGTGTATAAAGTACCAAAACAATTGGGAATCAGGACTTATAAAAATCCTGTATGCACCACTGTGCCATTTTATTTAAACAGTATATTAATATAACAAATCGGGAAAGACCAATAGATTATATATCTATATATCTATATAGAGTAAGTTACTAGGAAGTATAACACAAATATTTGTATATAAAATCCTAAGACGGAATTTATCCTAGCTGATTAGGGGATTTTTTAATATAATTTTTGAAAACCTTAACATATTAATTATTTGCATATTTTACATTGGCATTCTTCCAGTGACTAAGCTATCAAAAATTGTAGGCAAGGTTTTTTAATTAATGATCATACAACGTTTTAAAAATTAAGTTCACAATCTCAGTGGAATATTCAAGAAAATAGACATAGGGATCAATATCAACACCAAAGACACATTTTTAATTATACAGACTCTCTGAGTTTACAAACCCAGTCTCAGAGTACCATCAAGTGTTCCAAGAGGTCAAGCATTCCTTGCGTTCCTAGAAACATATGCCATAGTATTTCAGTATTGAAAACTCTTTGATTTGACAACTGAACTAAATGGTTTTTGTCACTGATTTTCTACGATAAGATTATCGTATGATATTTGTTGCCGACACACGACGAGACATGACTCCGCACAGTGTCATCATCCAATCAGGTTCGTTTTCAATTCAATTGCATTATCCAGTCGTTATGATGGACATATAGGAAATGACCTACCAGAGATTTTTGTCTCGCTGTGCCCGCAACTGCTCAGTGAAAGTCTCAACAAGACTCTAGCCTGCAAAAAAATTGCCACCTTATCCCGTCCCTGGAAAGGGCAGTCACAAGATTGGTTAAAACAGAGGTCAATCAAAGCTTAACAGAATGAAAAGTCAAGAAAGAAAGTGTTAAACCATACTGTAGTGGTTACGTACAAAACTAATAGCTATTAAAAGATTCGCAACGAAACTAATAAAATACGAACAGATGTTAGGTCTAATTTTAATTAGACTGACTTAGACAATAACTTCGCTTACCAATTATCATGAATATAATATATTACCTAACCAACAAAGTCCTACTCTGCTTATTTCAACATTAAATTGAAATTCAATATTGAGCAATAATGTCTATTTCATTATATAGTATACTTTACTTAACCAATAGCATATTGGTCAAAGTATGAAATTTGTCCTACTTACAGTCGTCAATTCTGAAATTTGTCTTGTTCACCACAGTTTCATGGTGAGGGATGGTAGCCAAAGAAGCACTTGCAGCAGTTCTAGGCACATCAAACTTTTTTTTCAACCTTATGTAAAGACAGATTCAATCCTACATTACCTAATCACCTACAAACCACTTTCCAGCTATACACAGCTGGTAGAAAGGATCTGCAATTATAAACCAAAGTTGTTATCCTTGTAAAATATAGTTGTTGCTTTTACTCTTTGTATTCCTGTGTCATATATCTTAAAGTAGCACGACGCACAAATGCATTTTGAAAATTATATAATATTTATATAATATAAAAGATTTAACTGATTAGGGAATATCAAGGTGAAAATTTGAATCTGATTGTTTTAGAAAAATTATAGCCATTTGAGGTTCATGAAACAATGATTGCTCCCTCTAGTGACATTAAGTAAAATTCAATTGATAAAAAAATGATACATTATGGCCATTGATAGACCTCTCTCATTCCTATTTTTATGAAGCTGGCACACAGTCCCCCTTAAAAAGTAAATGTCCCTCTTTAAAAGTAAGTGTCCCTCTTCAAAAGTAAACATGTCCCTCTTTAAAAGTAAACATCCCTCTTTAAAAGTAAGTGTCCCTGTTTAAAAGTAAACATCCCTCTTTAAAAGTAAGTGTCCCTGTTTAAAAGTAAACGTCCATGTTTAAAAGTAAGCATCCCTCTTTAAAAGTAAGTGTCTCTATTTAAAAGTGTCCCTCTTAAAAAGTAAGCATCCCTCTTTAAAAGTAAGTGTCTCTATTTATAAGTAAGTGTCCCTCTTAAAAAGTAAGCATCCTTCTTTAAAAGTAAGTGTATCTATTTAAAAGTAAGTGTCTCTATTTAAAAGTAAGTGTCCCTCTTTTAAAGGAAACGTCCCTCTTTAAGAGTAATCAAATCAATAAAATAAGCAACTATGAAGTAATCATTTAAATACAACAGCTGGTCCTGTAGAAACTCTGCTGATATAAGATTTTTATTGTACAGTAGACTGGAAAGTTGTGACACATACATAGTTATTGAGCTTAGAGTGACTTGCATATGAAAGTTTCAAAAAAATGAAGTCATGAGGTTGACTAGTCATCATTTCCAGGGAGATATGAACATATTCACATTAACTTTTACAAATCAACAAAACTGCACACGAAATAATGACTTGTGAGGTTTTTTTCTATTGATTGGCCAAAGAGCTGAACCACAAATTTCAACTCTGAAAATAATTGATGGTAGCTGAAATTGGGTTTTATTGGTTCGCAAAGCATAAACTAACCTGACTACAACTTTAAAAAGATATAGATTTGAGTTCAGCACTAAAAATAAAATATAGCTCAAAAACAAGCAAATATTGGAAAAGGCAAACAAAACTGCCAGTATTCTGACCTTTTTTTAAATTTTGGCATTTTTGATCATTTTTATGAAGATATGTGTTTTTATCCAGGACTTTCACATATTTCAGCAGAACTATAATTATTTATCAAAATCAATAATGAATGAATGAATGAATGAATGAATGAATGAATGAATGAATGAATGAATGAATGAATGAATGAATGAATGAATCAATGAATCAATCAATGAATCAATCAATGAATCAATCAATGAATCAATCAATGAATCAATGAAATTTAAATGAACTGAAGTACCGTATCAGAGAAAAAATAGAAGTGTTTAACAGTAGGCTATGTAATTTTTCTGTAATTCTCTGTTTTTTTAAATATATAACAGTGAACTTTGATATAATTAAGAAATAACTGGCATATCTTTTAAATCTGGTCTTAATAATCAATCAAATTATTATTCAAGGCATATATCATTAAGTGATTGAGAATTAGTTATATTAAGTGAAATGTTAAAAATTGATATACGATACCTTTTAATTGATCAGGCCATTTACCGATCACGTCTAGGTCCAAAATTCTTTTGACATCATGTCTATTTTTAGCTGTCACATGACGAAGAATATATACTAGTCTAGGCATGTTCATTATTGCCACACATTAAGGATGTTAATTCTACTATACCTACATAATATATACTGTCAAACTGATCATGTGACCTTTCACGTAGTTAAGACACCAACTGTTTTGGCAAAATGCCAGTTTTTATTATTGTCAACATTAGGTTGGCAAATTTATTGAAATTATGAAATACTTTTCTTGGTATCATAAGAGATAACATAAGTATGTCACAGTATATAAAAATAAACATATATATATAGGTATATGTATATCAAGGAGGGTAAGGTCAACTATTGCCTAACGCCTATGTTCATTCGACTCTTGGTGATCAATGGAATTAAGGGTGTGGGAAATGTTAGTTTATGTCATGTCAGCGATTCTACTTTCTATTTAGTCTTTTCTTATTGATTAGACCATAGAATATTGAAAGGACATTATGTAAATGAGGGCAATAAAACATTATATTGTCTGGACAGAATAATAGTAATGATATTGAAGTGCATGGGATCTAGCTTGATCCTTTTACTGTGTCAATGTTTCAACATGTACCATGAAGTGTCATATGCACCACTGTGATCTAGTATTGATCAAGGGCTTATTGACATTACTACTATTTCCACTTTCAAGAGCATTTTAAAAAGTACTTTTCATATTCAAAGATTGTATTTGATCAATAACTGAATAGTCAACACTTATAATGCAAAGACAGAATTATAATGCAAATTCAGACATCAGATTTATAATTCAAAATTAGACATCATACTTATATGTCAAAATCAGACAGACTTATAATTCAAAATCAGACGGATTTATAATTCAAAATCAGACATCATACTTATACTAAAAATTCAGACTTATAATCTAAAATCAGAATTACAATACAAAATCAGACTTATAATGCAGAATCAAACTTATATATTCAATATCAGACTTATATATGCAAAATCAAACTTATATGCCAAATGAGGATTACAATGCAAAATCAGACTTATATGCAAAATCAGACTGTCATCATTTCCAAGCCATTCCTACTATTCTCTTATACATTTATCATCACCAAGGACACCTTGAAGTGAATATGTTAAAGAAGTGACAACAGTCTTAAGTTCTACATTACATTTGGTTGAATAATATAGGACACTGAAGAAGAAATTTGAATTGGGGAAATTGAACTCTATCAGTTAACACAAAAGCAAATATTCACAAGATGATACCCTTTTTCTATTGAAAGTTATTTTGGTGTCAGGGTTTGCCAGAAAATTCCCTTGTTAATGCAACATAGCCTTTTTATGTGTATCGGGGACACCTTTGACTTCTATTTGGGACATTCCACTTCTTGGTCTGATGCCTGTGGTTTGTGCAAATCAGAGCTCTAAATATCCCTATTTATGATAAAAATGGTCTGTTTTGAATACGGTGGGGAGAACATTTGGTAAATCAAGATAGTCCAGTAATACTGCTACTACTGGACTAACTTGATTTACCAAATGCTCTCTGTACTCGAAATCTGCCATTTTATTATAAATAAGTATATTTAGCACTCTGCATAAATATCATACAACTTTTCCATTCCATTAAAACTAAGCAATTTTTATTTAGAAATGCCGCCATGTTGTAAGGGAAGATAACATATAGGTACTATTATGTTACTGAGGTCTGGTGGTAGGTTTGCAACGAATTCTCTTTCGTGATCTGCTTCATTTCCGATTAACTCGGACGAAGAGTTTGAATGTCCCAAAATAGAAGTCAAATGTGTCCCTGATACACATAAAAAGACTAGAAAACCTCTTTACAATCCCTTTGTTTTAAGATCAGATATCATAATTGTTATAAAAATCTATACAAAAATTTAGCAAACTGATGTGAACAAATATACTTGACAAATTAAATTAATATGTGATACAAGAATTTGTTTGATTATGTATTTCAGTACAGTAATGAAGGGGAGGTAACTACATAATATAGTAATTTAAAGGACCATGTTTGGAAACATAATTTGATAAGTTAGCTTTCTATGATAATAATGGAGTAGGGTCTAAATTGATTTGACAAAAGTTGTCTTAAATCAAATTATTTAAAAAGTCATCAAGGATACCTCTAATGTAAAATAATATACAATGAAAAATGAAAAAGGTTAACAGTAAAAGATCCCTCCATAAAACTTCAGTAGACAATCCTTATTTTACTATGTTATTTTCAATAAAAAAATATTGAAGAAAATATTAACACATTTTAAAAATATAAGTGCCCATTTGACAAACCATTCACAGACTAATCCAGAGGAAAGAAACCTGCTATGGTGCTTATCATAATCGAGCTCAAATTCAATAATATGACAACTCTATTTTTTCTAATTCTCTTATACTAAAGCCTAATTATTTTTGACACCAACTCATTTCATTTCATTTTATTAACTAACTACCCTATATATCACGAAAAGCATTTGGAGACACACCATGAAAAATCTGGAGATTGGGTAAAAACTTTCGAGACTTTGTTTGAGTTACTGCTCTACAACAAAGCAATATTTGATGGCTCTTCTAGACAACCCTTGTTGATTTTCTACTACTCAAAATTTTTCTCATGTATTATCAAATTTATTCATCTTAGCTATTCGACACAGATCAACCTTTATCCTCAAAATTTCAAAAACATTTATTTCATCAATTAAAATCACCTTATGTCTTCATATTCTGCTAATTCTAGTCGAATTCAAAAAATCATACAAAAGTCTACTAATCTAAGACATATCAGAATATCTGGAAAAACTGAATGAGCAGTACCCAATGCTGAAATACTCTGCTTATAGAAGATACCACCAGCTGTGTTCACAAATGTTTCAAAACTGTAAACACAACATGGTATCCTCCACAACAGAGTTATCTTCTCTTTAGTCTTCAAAGTTATCCAAGAGTTACTTCCCTTTAGTCTGCAGACTTCAAACAAAATGGCAACAACTAAAACTGAATAGACAAAACAGAATGATAAATTTATGAGGTTTCATTAATAAAGTCATCCACATTTGCTTCTTGATTGTAAGGCTAAATTCAAGAATTGTTAGGTACCTTTTTTTTTACAAATAAAATGACATTTAGAAAAGAAAACAATTATAAAACTTTACTCAATATTTCAATTTTTTTCCCTGTTAAAATGTCATCCAATTGTTTTTAGAGACAAAATATGAACTGAAATTCTGAAAAACTGCTGTCAAATAATTTTCATAAGAATTTTTTAACAATTTGAACTGGAATTTACCCTATTCTCACAGTGATTTTGTCAATTTTCAAGAGAAAAGAAAAACCAAGAGTTAACAAGCTTTCACTAAGCAAAATCAAATTAGAAAGTAACTGGATCTTCAAACACATCAGCAGCAATACACATCCACATGAGCAAAATCCTCACAAATGTCCATCACAAAACAAACTCAACTATTTTGTCAAAGCCTTAGAATAAATCCAAGTTAAACGTTGACATCTTTACTTCTCAAATATCAAACATGTGAGTCAGTCTCTAACACCAAGCTAAAAGATCAACTAGAAAACTTTATGAAAATATTAAAGTTTGTTTCGAAAAGTTGAAAAGTTGACAAGCTAAGTTGATGTAGAGACCTGCTCACGATCAAGGAGCAAGTTCAACTGCCGAGGTCCCATCTGAACAAACGTACATATAGTGTGGAGTTAAATTCTCGAAATGACAAAACCCAACGTAATTTGCGGTCTAGTCACACGTCGACCTTGCTTTTTCTGTTGACTTTTGTCCATATTTACAAACAAGTCGAACTCTGTGTGAGGGAATGTTGGTTGGTTGGCTTGGAGACTGCTGGGACCGCTCATCCTACTTCAGAAATAATTTCAAGTTATGTGTTAAAATAAAAGATTTTCGAATTTAGTGTGTTGTCACCATGGTTTAAGACATGTGATTAACAACGAAGTGCCAGGTTGTAATATCGCCACTAACCCCAGGTCCGAACTTATAATCACTAATATAATAATCGCTAAATAAATCCCTGTAACACCTCATAACCTCATACACACATCACAACTTCAAACAAATTTAGATACATTTTTCATCATTTTTAATCCTGTTGATTACTTTTTGATCTTTTTGACAACTTTTGATATATATTTTACATATTTCCCACAGTAGTCATAATTTAATCTTAAAAAATATATATTAAAGATGGATTCCATCATTTGTTGTTAAACAAATATCCAGCCTTCAATACTTGGAAATTTCCTTTTCCATTCTTGTTTTCTGAGCACTAACCATTTTTCTAGACCAAATTAAGCACTTACACCCAAACATTTTTTTTTAAAATTGAAATAATTTGACAAAAAATTGAGAATATATCATATCCATATCCAAGTTGAATATCTTTAAAAAAAAAAAAAAGAAAAAAAAGAAGCAATTCCTTTAACTTTCTGGATCTAAAATTCAATCTTTCAAAAAAAAATTAATAATATTTTAAAACAAAAACGATGGTGAAATCTATTTTCAAATTTAATAAATTCACAAGAGGAAGCCTAACTTTAATTTCAATTTTTGACAAATATTTAAAAAACATTATTTTCAATGCAGTCATCAGTTGATGATAATTCAAAGTGTCATAGCATAATTTACAATTTTTCTCTTTTAAATGATGAAATATATAGTGTTTGATGGATGGGCTACTAATATCATTCAAAAATCAAACATTGACAAATATATGATTTGTGAATAATACTGTTGATTGATGGTATTCATAAGAATTTAGGAGCAAATAAACTAATAATGAACCAATAAACACTCTTTCTGTGAAAATCGTAAGAATCTTCAAACATTGATCATTCATTTTGTGAGCCTAAAAGATTTCTTAGAACAATGGTTTTCAACCTGCTTATGTATATGTCCCAAAATCATATTTTGCATGAAAACAATATCCCCAGTATCGAAACAAAGTGAAACTAGGATTGGATATCAGGCATGGTATCGATAGTACGAGTACAAAATGCTGCAAATAATTCTTGGAGTGCTCGGAGACAATATAAGCCAAGGCCATGTCTAATGTAGTCATGTGAGATAGAAGATAGTGTTGTATTATCATAGCCTGTGACACATTAAAAGTCTGCCAACAATGTGCAAAAGTCCCCACTTTGAATTTTCATGTCATAAAAAATTATTTTATTAGGTAATGTTCAAGAGAGAGTCTGCTACAGAAATAATTTGGCAGTTCATTTTTTGAATAGAAAATAAGCTAGTTTTTTCATCGTCTGACTTTTTTTTTTTTTGTACCAAGGGTCATAACTGTAGGTATATCAATTGATGGTAGTTATCCTCTAAATAACATACTAAACACTGAACTTTAAACACAAGATTTTAAATAATTACGCACGACTAATGTGTATACACAACTTAAATAAATATGGGGAACACTTCATTTATTTGATGTCTGCAATCATAGTATGGTTTTTAGCCTTATTTTATTTTATTGTCAACATTTTATTTTGTCCAAACATATCATTGATATTATTTCATATGTAATTGATATATATATATTTTCATGTCATCTTATTGGTACAGGGCATAATGTCATTAAATATGTTTTCTTCTCATTTAAACTGGACTTCCATCTAGTTCATCCCTACATTAAATCAAAAACAAACACCATATTGGTATATTAGCAACAGTACCGAGAAGATATTTAATAATATTCAATGTACAAAAAAAAAAATATTCAAGTTATGCAAATTACAAATCAAATAAAAGAGATGTTCACTATCTCCCAGTGTCGTCTGAAGTGTTTCCAACAACACCAATCACATGTTTCAGCGCGTCACTAGTGACCATCAATACATCATACACCAAGTATGGAGACACGCATGTAACAATGAGAAAATTTTATTAAACGTATTATGTGTATCAGGGATACTGATGGCATCAATTTGAACCATTTCAATTTTCAATCCTATGTACGTGAAGTCATCCAACACTTGGTTTTATTGGAATTGCAGTAACCACAGACGTCCGGCTGAAAATTCTTAACTAATATTCTAGGTGGAATTGGTAAAACTTATTTAATGGCATTTTGAATGTAAAAATGGTAAGTGTCACTGAGAATTACAACATTAAACCTCTGCCTGTATTTCTTATCACACAGCTACATGACTTCAGGTTGATATTCAATGGATATCTATTAATATTCAAACAGTTCCAGATATCTTTTAGTCTTTCCAAATATGGACATAATAAATAGCTTTAGAACATACAGGTGAAATCAATATTTTGCTGAATAAAATGTATTTCTTCAAGAAATTTTCTTGCATTGTAAAATACCTAAATGTCTGACTTTCATTCTAAAAAGTGCTAAAGTAGAAACAGTATTATCTGATGTAATTACAAAGAATATATCCCTGTGTTTTGTGAATTCAAAATTGCCAGTGCAGAAAGATAACCCATGTCAAATCATAATTTTATCTATCCTCCATTTTGACCAAAAGTCACAAACTTATTAAAGATTTAACTTGACTGCACTGGTCTCAGTATTTGATAATCAGTTTTTTCAAACAGTTTTAATCCTCTTTAAGACAAGTGTGAAAAATACAAAAGGAAAATGTTTACCTTAGTAACAAAAAGAAACATCAACAAGTAGGTAAAAATAGTCACTATAAATATATACCAAGGTACACAAGGATGATCACTTGACTGTTATATTACAGCCTGGCACTGAGTACAAACTACTAAGTAGCATTCGACCACAAGTCAAAAAAATCTAAACGATTATACAACAAAATTTCTGCAATCTGAAGTCTAACTTACACAAATGGGTGTCGAAAAGAGGGCGGATGTGCATTTAAAATTTGGTGGAGACCTTTGGGGTCGTTGATGTCATGTTTGTTGATTTCTCGAGCCAGTCAAGCTTGTGCCTTGACGTCTATTTGGCTGTGTTAACATTGGGTTTGAAGGTTTGTTGTTTTATTAAGTTTATAAGTGACACGTTTAACTATAGTTTAAAATGGAAACCTATTATTACTAAAACAAAACATTTCATTTGTATTTTAGGTATTCTTAATTTTAGCATCATCAATATTCTTTTCTGGAGGCATAGCTAAAAATTACATTCTCATTGCAAATATTTTTCTTTTCCTTTTAGATTCCTTCATTTTTGAAAGTTGATAAATATTATTGGCAAGGCTTGTTATTAGTGCTGGCATGATATATCGATGAATCAATGTATCGCGATTCGACATACGGTATTGCGACTTTGTGTAATGATACTTGGCGAAACCTTTTATTCCATAAAATAAGTGCAGATTTTTATGATATATAAATTTTTTTTCACCGAAATTGTCAGAAACGATTGAGGACAGTGGACACTAGCCACTACTATCAACTATATTACCAAATATCACAGTTATAAAATCATAAATTAATATATATATAGAAACTGTGAAGATAAAATATTAAATTTTACCCCATATATCGTATCGTGACCCTTGTAATGCAATACATAGACCCTTGTAATGCAATACATATCGTATCATGACATGATTGCCGATACCCAGCATTACTTGATATATAATATGTAAATAATGGAACATAATTTAATGGTATACTATTCATGAGATTTAATGGATGTATATTATCATATATTCAGATGTATATCATGTTTTAAAACAAAAGAATCAGGAGATCGATTGTACACCATAAAATTATGTTCTGTTATCTTATTGTGATCTCGACCTTAAAATAATTTGGTTTATCTATTGCACAATATTATCAAATGTTTTCATAATTTATAAAAAGAAAGGGGCAGTAACTCTGACATAATTGTCACCGATTTATTATATTACAACTTGGTTTTTGATACCAGTCAACTTTGGTACAGAAAGGGATCTGTATCTCAGTTTTTTTTAACAGTGTCTTTATCATCATCATCATCATCTTGATTTATCAAGGGTGTATGAGCATATTCAAATCTAACCCTTGATAGATGGGACTGATATTCATGCGACAAGTACAAGACAAGTCACTCTCCTATGTGCAACCAATGTTGTGAACTTGTCAACCTTAATGGCTATTATTTACATTCCTTTTAAAGAATAAAATTTGAATGACCAATGACAAGAATATGAGTCGCTAGATCAAGCATTAGATGTTGAATACCAACATGTGAAAATATTATTCATACTAAAGACTGTTCAACTTACAATCTGGAAGCATCCGAACCATCATCACCATCAATACGATAAACTTTACCATACATAACATATTCAAACTGATCAGCTCTAGAAGGACCGGTATTAGCTGGATTGTATTCATCATCTGGAGCACCATCTTCTCTTAGTGTAGTTGCTACCACTAATCGGAACTTGTCACCTAAAATCACATATCATACAATTGTTTTAAAGGGGTATTACACCTTGTTCATTATCAAAAACGTCATCAAAAATTGTACATGAAAATATTTCTAAAGTATGCTATTTATATCTATGTATCTTCTTGATCATGTTTTACAAGAATTAATTAAAGACAGAGAGTACTGATAATTAATTAAGCAGTTTTAACTTGTTTTCGTATTTGGCTTTATAATGGCTCTATATTATTAGTTGAAACTAAGTTTATTTTACTCAGATCCATAGAGTAGTTTTCAAACAGCTTCCAAAAAACATTATAACCAACTCAAAAACCTTACATATGGCGTTTAAAAATTAACGGCTGGATTTTTTGCAGTTAGACATTTCAGAAACGTTAAAGGGCACTTTTCTCTATATTTTGTATAATAGTTTTCACAATATTGAGTAAAATAAATTGGAAATGGTGTGGAAAGGTAAGATTCAACGAAGATAACTCTGAACATAAATTTGGCACTCGGCTTAGCTCTTTAGCTTCAATTATAGAAGCCTTTAAAATAATCTTAAGAAAGAACAAACCTAGATCAACAGGATAGATCTGTACATTAACATCAAGTATCAGGTCCATTTTAAAAGATTCACTCTCACAGAACAATCTGGATACTGAAAATAGAAAACAAATTTTTAGCTTATCAGGATTCACCTTCTCTTTTTGCCTCCATGGTTGCTAATTGAATTGTGAAATGTAATCAGATATCACTGGCAGGGCCGTAACTATGGTCTTTTTTCTTTTAGACAGACTTCAAATGTTAACCACCTTCGCAAATATCAAATAAGCGATATATTTAGCGCATATATTCATAACTTCAATTTTCAAAACCGATTTGTTTTTTTCAAATTCGGCATGAGCATTTGCCTCGATGTAGTTAAGGCCATAACTAGGCATCAGATGATAGGATAAAACATGCTTGTCTAGGATGTCAGACAATACCATTCATTAACATGGGTTCTAACAATATATGTCCACATAAAGCAATTTCTTTCAGTATATTTGCTTATCATCTGTGATCTGAACAATTTTTTAGGCATATCACATTCTAGGTCATATAACTAATTTATTAATTTATCTGTACTCGCTGTTACAAATTGTAACAAATGGCACACTCTTTTGGATGTTTCCAATTTTCATTTTCATATTGCTTCAGATAAAGACCTGTCATTGATTTATAAGAAGATAGGGGCTGTGGGGCTGAGAAAATCTGCCAAAAATAATTCCATCTTTAATGGAAGCTAAAAAAAAATCGCAGAGGTTTGTCCTGAATAGGGAAACTACAAACTTGTTCAATAGTTCAAACTAATCAAAGCTCAAAAGATGTAATGTGTGAAAGTTGAATAATAAATTCATACAATCTTGCTAGAAAATAATCTAGTCAGTATAGTAAAGACGAACAAAAAAAGGTATAAACACCATCTGCCAAAAATCACTGAATCAGAAGATGTCATATCATGTTTGGATTGATCGAAACATTAGTGTATATGCAAATCAAGTCCAAAGAGTATATCAGTAACAAATTAGGTCAATATTGTTATCTATCTCCTAATTAACTTTATCAATTAGAACCAGGGACTACACAAGTCTAATCATTACTAACGAATGAACATTCTTATCATGGTTGGACGTAGCTTGGAAATTCTCTTCCGCAAATCCTGTAAAAGTTTTTTTTAAAAAGGTCAAATTTGACATTTTCAGGGGTTGATTTGTATAATTCCTCAAAAAACCCTGTCTAGGCAGAGTCTCAAGAAAAGATGAGAAAAGAATAGAAGACTCATCATTTCAACTTTCAAATGCAGATAATACTGGACGCACATGGATTTGAAGGCTCAAATTTAAGCTGTGAGCTGTGAAAACTATTACTGATTGGCTTAGCTAAAAAATTCCTTATTCTGAGATTAAGATATGATTGGTCCAACGGATGGCAAATCTGTTCCTTTAATTTTTATACAATCGACGCTTATACTCCAACCCTCCTACAGTCACAATTGTCTTTTGGGTCTTGGTTCCCAAAGTTTTTGTCTCAAACACTTCAAACCGAATACAAGTCATTCCAGACTGTGTATTTGCAATTTTTGTGTATTAACAAAAAAATAATGAATGTATCCCTTTAAACAATCCCATCTTTTAAATACATGTGACTGCATGTATGAATTATTAAAATCGCATGACAAGAGTGTTATTAAGTAAATTATGATCCATATAAAATATTATATATCAGCATAATATAATATATAGACTGATCGTATCTCTAGACCATATAAATAATAATCAGTTATGAATAGTAAGGTTGCTAATACCCTATAATACAGACTTAAACAAATATTGGGCAACAGCCAAATCTTAGAAGGGAATGAATCAGGGCCATTATTCTTGTCTTTTATAAGAGAAAAAAGAAAAGGGACACTTTCAATCCTAAGGAGTGTTAACAACAGTGCATATGGAGCTCAGTCACTTTAAAAAGTGTGCACTACTTGCCAATTCAATATGAATCAAAGGCTAAAAATAAACCTCGCACACCACTGTCACTACATAAAACCAATACAGCAATGTCAGGAATAACCAGGTAGTGCTTATGTTTACCCCTTCAATTAAGTAAATTAAATTTCTTCTTTTTTTTTGTTTTACTTTGACAATTTATTGCACCATGTTCTTATGTGAATATAATTTAGAATATAATTTAAAATCTGAATTTCTTGACAGTACAATGGCTCCTAATAAAGCACTGCAAATGGAAACTTGAAAGGCCTATGGTGTTGACCTTTTAACTCAAAATACATGTGTGGGAGTCTAATTAATACTAGATATATCTATAACAATGACTAATGACAACCAAACAAGTGAAGATGTTGGCTTCAGTCCAAGAAGCGAGTAGGAACACAAATTATTTCTGCTTAATCAGCATTATTTGTTACTGTGCCTGCTGCTGAATGAGCCATTTCATTTCTAGTTAAAATTCTTTATATTTCTTTGGCAATAGAGCCAAACTTTTTCTGGGTGGCATTCTTGAAGCCATTTGTCAATTAATAAAAGCTTCAACCAACTTATTTAAAAAAAATTACAGAAAGTTTTTCACGTATCAATTAAAAAATATAACAGCATAAAAAAAATTCTACATTAAGTTCTGTGTAGATTTTGAATTATAATAAATTGCAATATGAAATGTAAGCTTCCAGAAAATATTGTTATACAACTGCTTCCTAATCAAACATCAAATTCACACATCAAATTCAAAAAGAAAGAAAAAAAAAACACAAAACTGAAGCCATCCTTCAATTTTCCATTCATAGATTAATAAGATTTCATAAAAATGATTTCATAGGCCTACCAGTTTAAACAATTGCATCAACATCAGTCCAAGATAATAAGGATCAAATTTTCTTTGAATTTTTCTTTCCAATTAAAGCTATGTCCAAACATGATTGAAAATATAATTCAGAAATCATACAGCTAATAAGACTGGATTGATAAAAATGAAAACTTGATAAAGCATGCTAAATGTTTATTGTCTCTACTGCCTTAGCAACTGTACCTACAAGACCATACCTGCAACAGACCCACTTGACTTTCATGACATGCAACATTTTTTCAATCAAATTTTCGTCAATACAATATACAATCATAAAGAAATATCAATATTAGGACTTGCCTGAAGTAGCCATATAATAGGAATTAATTCAAAAATATGAAATTGAAAATTGGTTTATTGATTAAGCAAGTCAAATCTTGTTTCGAAATTTATCAGATAATTCTAATATCATATTTTCCATAGGCCTATAACATTTTTTTTTACCCCAAATTAAAATCTAAGGATAAACTTGATCTAGTTTTGAAAGTACTTTCTAAAGACAATAATTACCAATTTACTAGAATAGATGCAATGCATGTCCTTGCATGAAGAAAAACCAGTCACTCCTTCTGACAGGAAAACCTACTGTTTGTTTTAAGACAGGCTACATGATGTACATGGCTTCATTCTCACGTCTTGTTGACATCTTGTGCTCCAGGCCCCAGGGGTGAAGTTTACAAACCACTATCAACGACATCTCCACCTTTTCCTACACTTCCACCACATCAGTCGCTTTTTCCTGTAGAAATGTGTTGCAATGCACTGACCGGTTCGTGTCTTGATAAATCGACAGACGTTTTGAGCGACCTTTCAAAACCCTCACAACCAATCGTCGGCAGATTACAGGACAAGTCCCAACATGGTCCCAAAAAGCCGGGCTGTTTTGACGGAAAATAACGAATCAATACCATATAATTAGCGATAATAATGCAAGTCAATAATCAGAACAAAACTCAAAAGCTTATCGCAGCATAATTCCACATGAAAATATATTTTAAGTCGTCATTTCTTTTGGCGACCATCCAAAAATAGAATTACGCACGAGAAGCGAAATATTTCGATCGAATTTGTGTCACACTCTGATTTCTTCCAAAGGTGATTAACTGTCTGATTCCAAGAACAGAGAAAATTTGAAACCGTTATGATTATCATCCTTACCTCTGTCAAATTTTTTGCCATCTGGATCAATGTCTTTGACATCAAAAATATCTTCAAATAAAACACCCGCCATGCTGGTTCTCAGACAACTCTAAAACTGGGCCAGGTCGGTGTATTTATTCCCAAAATAAAAGGTGCTTGTAAGCGGGAAAAATTCAAAGAAAAATGGGGATGTAAAAGAAAAACGTTAATCTTCAAAACAGTGTATTCAATATATATTTTCACAGTCAAATTTTATTGAAAACGACGAGAAATGGCCTTTGTTTACGTTTTTTGGGAGGTGTGCATGCACGTTTTCATGATAAGACATTTCTACCTTCATTGCCATTATTAACTGAAGAGTATGCATATGGGACGTAACTCAGTCAGATTTAATTTACTACAGCCACTCTTTAATTTTTTACTATCAACCGCTCTAATCAGTTGATTTAAAAACTTTTTAAATTCGATTTTAATCGATTGTGACAGAATAAAGAATAAATCTTTATTTTGTTTTTATTTCTACCAGTTTAGTTTTTCAAATTTGAAACGACTGTGCACAATGTAATTGGAAATTGAAAAACTGTAGTCATACTTTGACCCAGATGTAGATAAGCTAAGATATATGTGCACATCAAGGTCCAATTCAAATCATTATAACTTGAGCAGTGCATTTATTTTGAGGTAGAAATGTACAAATAACATGGACTTTTTGAATTAGACTGACTACGATGTGCTCAAGATCTTTGCTTGATAATGTTACAAATAAAAATATGTACAAGCAAGACAATTCCGTTAATCAAGATCTCCCCCAAAGTGTGGCAAAAGCAAGTGTAAAAGTTGTGTGGTAGTGGACTCCTCCAAAGACCAGCCAAATCCCCAAAGGAATGTTCTAAAAAGTATTTGAATTTTCTTATTAACATATCAATATCAGGCACAGGTACAGTTGTCCTTTGAAACATGGCAAGATAATTTATGTTTATGCATATTACCATTCTGTGAGAATTTACGACCACATAGGGAGCATGAATATGGTAAGTCACCAGAATGAACTCTGATATGTCTTCTTAAAGAAGAGTTCAAAGAAAATGTCTTTCCACAATTTGAGCATAGGTAAGGCTTTGATCCACTGTGTATACGCACATGGTTCACCAGATCACAACGGTTTTTATATGCACTATCACAAGATGTGCATTTAAATGGTCTTAAATCATTATGCACTTTCAAGTGAGATTTTAAGGAACTCCGCAATAGAAACAATTGTCCACAAGTATCACAACCGAATTTCTTTACACCTAGATGAATCTTTAAATGCTGTCTTAAGTTTGACTGCTTGCTAAACGATTTTGAGCAGATCTGGCATTGATTAGATACTGGATCATGGGTCTTCATGTGTTGTTTCAAGGCACCAGAATGCAGGAATTTTTTTTTGCATATCTTACATTCTACACTTTTGGTTGAGGCATAGTAGCTTAGGACTGAATTGCTTTGCTTTTTATTGCTTAAAGTATTTGCAGTCTTCAAATTTCTTTTGAGTGCAGTCTTTTGACTCAACAAGACCAATGCCATAGATGCCTCAACAGCATTGAACTGTCCATTTGACATAACTTCAGGAAACAGTTTAGATGACCATTCTGATATTTCCAATGGTACTGAGTCTGAATGGCCTTGGACTGATAATGCTCCAATTTCATTAACTGAATCGTCATCAATTGCCTCTCTTGGCACTTTTGATGATACTAAGAAGCCTGAAGGCATCCCATGCTGATCTACTGGAATACTGTTGGCAATTGATGCAACTTGAAGATCAGATTCGGGTGGTGGAACTGATGAATATGAAATATCCAGGAGTTCAATATCATGCTGACAGTCCATTCCTAACAATTCAATGGACTCCAAATGTCCTACATTATTTGAGGATTCAAGATTTTGCTGCATAGTCAGATTAGACGAGGATTGATTTTGATGGAGGCCAACTTTAGTACTTTCCTGATTGCAGAGTTGATCTGGAGACTTGTTTGATGTGTAAGGCCTCTGAAGTCCATGGTCACTATGGTCATCATCCAAAGGGGATGTCCTGGCTGTAAGCTCATCTGTCATCACGTCCAATTGAGTACCAGTTTCACAAGATACTGAAGATTTATTTGTACTATGAAAAGACTTGAAATGTCTTCTCAAGGTTCTAATAGATTTAAAAGAATGACCACATGATGAACACAGTTGAGACTTCACAGTCAGGTGAATCAATTGATGTTCTTTGAAGTCACTTATATATCTGAAAGAACTGTTACATAGTCCACATTTGTGTGGTTTGAGTCCCCTATGAATTAATTGGTGCTGCCTTAAATTCCTTTTTTCAGCAAAAGTTCCTCCACATTCCAGACACTGATAATTTTTCGTGCCTAAATGAACTTGATGGTGTATCTTTAATTTACACTTTTCAATGAAAGATTTGTTACAAAGCTCACACTTAAAACGACGTTCTCCTTTGTGTATTCGATAGTGCCTTGTAAGGTTTGCCTTCTGCATAAAAGAAGACTTGCATACATCACACTGGTAGGGTTTCTTTTTTGCATGCAGTAGGCCAACTGTTTCTTTCTGCATATTGAGCTGATTTACACTTCTATCCATATACTTATTATTGAATGTCAAGACTGGAAAGGAAAATATAGAGACATCTTAGCCTTAGCTTATAAACCCTACTCAGCCTCATCCAATCCATCATCCCTCAGCCTGGCTCATGACACTCATGTCGTGCCTTCTGGTATTAATATTCATACAATTATTGTTGTCTTTACTTATTCATCACAACTATGAAAATTGATTCGCTTTCTTGAAAACCACTAGGTCTAAAGCGAATGAGCTGTCAAATTAAAAAAAAAAAGCAATCAGTTCATCTACTTTCACTTCCATTTCAGACGTTTCGGCAAAAGATCATATTCCGTGTATCGACGAAATAAACTTTTTCTCTAGCTGATTGGATCATATTTCTGAACATCAGTTTTAACAAAGGAATCATTATGACTGTTTCAAAAACATTTCACACAGTTACTTTGCAAATATCGTTTTGATTTGTGAAAGAGGTCGTATTGGCATTGGCTTCTTGCACTTCAGACTTCATGTTCGAGACAAAAGGATGTGGAGTAAGAGGCGTGTTGTAAACAAATGTAGCAATTAAGGTAATTTATGACAGAAAATTGATTAATATAAATCCTAATATTCTGATTTCTGTTCGATTGTGTTTATCTCCCATTACACCGTTTTCTACAGGTGAGTTTGACATAGGCCTGCTGATAATACTGATCAAAAGGGGATAAGCTGAGTCTAATATTTTCTTTTCTGTCTCTGTCACTGTGTCAGAGTGATCCAGTCTTAGCATCACTGAGAGTGTCCATCGGTGTCACAGTTCATGACCTCCTGTGGCAGCCAACGGACTACGCAAATTTAACCTGTTGGACTGTCACTTCTAAGGCATTATTAACATTCTAGTGTATAGCGAGGATATCAATAATAATAGCACACTAGAAAGTGAACATTCATTGTCCTAGTAAGAATTTAACTGGGTACGGTATGGTTTCTGTGAATAAAGCAGAAAATTGTTATTGATAGCTAAAATTATACTCCATTACTGGCATTAGATTAGCTGGTAGCCTACGGTTAAAGGTAAACTGAATATTTAGACGTCTTTCTATATGATCCCTCTAAAGTTGTGTTCAGTCTTGTTTGATGTACAAAATTCAATAGTGTAAGCTTAGCTCACCTGAATTTTTATTTTCAGACACTAAATAGAACTATTTGGAGACCTGCTGTACTTTGGTAGACATAGTGGAATCTGTGGTTGTGAACTTGTAGATACATTAGATTATGGCAGCAGACAAGCCTCAGCACAAATCGCCTTATAGCATGGAACCGTATGATCAAGGAGGCATGCAGGATTTGGGAGCTCTTAGCCAAGAGCAGCAATCTAAGCTAAATAAGTTCAAAATTCAAACTAGAGTTGAAAATGAGAAATATTTGAGGGAGCATCCTGAAGTTGAATCACTAATGGGAGGTTTTCTGAGTGATGTTTTGACCAAAAGACCTGACAATATTCAAGAATTTGCTGCCAAATATTTTATTCAACCAGACGTGAATAGTGTCGTGGAGAAAAGCTTGGAGGACAGGCAAAATAACATGAAACAGAACAGCCTCTTACAAAAAACAGGATAATGGTGAAAGTGGCGCATACTCGGAATATGTAGAACCTCTTCTTTTTTTTTTTATTTTGCAAAATTTATTTTTACTTTCTTCCATGTTATATTTATTGTTGAGATGTTGTACATATATTATTATCATAAAATATTATTTTAAGCTCAATTACATTCTTTTGTTTTCTTTACCTCATGATAATATGTGACTGACAAATTTACAACGAAAGCTTGATCACTTTTTTTCACTTGAGACTCCTTAATTACCTCATTTGTCAAGTCTTAAACAGAGAAATAGAAAAAATAAATATTATGTGACTTTTGCAAAGGAAAAAGGCTGGTAAACCTCTTACAGAGTGGCATCAGGCTGGATGACCCTATCTTCAGGCTTTGACAGATGAATTTTTTACCAGGGAAGGAGTCAGAGAGCTATTCTTAGAAGAAAATTAGGCCCTGTTTTATAACATATATAATGTATTTGGATTTTGCGGATCTTATTTAAATAAATAGGTTTAAAACCCCTGCACCTTTGAAGATGCGGAAAAAAATCCATAAAACAAAGCCTAGATTTTCTGTCTCTACGCCAGCTGTCAACTGTCAAAATAGCTATCAGAGGCCTCAATAGAGGCAGATGTTTCGGTCTAGCTGAAAATGAGCTTTTTCTACGAATTTAGCAAATTAAGAGAATTGAATACAGGAGTCAGAGTCATAGAGTTATAATATGAATAGTTAATAAGAACTATTTATAACTTTATGGTCTGATTCAACCACTCTTGGTGCATGTCGGTGATTGAACAACCATTTATATGTTCAGGATGTAGTAACTGTCGCGCATCTTTAACAAGTAAACAAACCGGATCGAAATTGCACCATTTCTGATTGAGAACATTCTTTTTCTTTCGATTCGATGTTATAAGTAGCGAGCAACATTAGGAGATGCGTCACACTCGAGTAAATATATCGAACAGGTACAGTCCCACCTCTTTGTCACTTTCTTATTTACGTACACGGCACAGTGTAGGTAGCCTATATGTGCTTTTTAAATTAAAATTTTGTCAGTCGACAAAAGTTTAGATCTAGGTGATTTGTGAAGTACTGGTAATGGCTGTTGCATCAGAATTTCTCTTATTATCAGTGAGGAGGATTTGGACAGTTCATCTAATTGTCAATCAGACGACAATCCAAAAGCAGTGAGCTAGCTATTGAAATAAATAGGTGGAAGAAGGGGATCCCATGAGATCCTTGTGGTTCCAAAGACAGATGACAAGCTCTCACTGTCAACCAATTTTTTTGAATATTTTGGTGAAGTGACAGTAACTACCGAGTCTTAAACGGATCAAGGTTTCAAACATGGTCATAGCATGGATCAATGCTAATTATTGAGATAAGTAATTTAAGCCTTCCAGTATAATATTGAATGTACAAATAGTATCATCATATCAAAATAGGGCCCCAGTTACCAATTCCGGGGTGTTTTCACCCCCAAGGGTGTGAGACTAGAGTGTCAATGGTGTGGCCAACTGGTGTAGGAGAAGAATTTATTTTGAATTGAGAGAGCAGCTCACATCATCACTTGCTTTAAATGTAGATGAGGGTGTGAAAGGTCCAGGTGATTGCTCCAGGGGTGTGAAGGCTGAGAAAGGTTGGGAACCATAATAAATAAATAGACTAATAAGTATTATGATGACTAAAACTTGTCATTCTTATTATTTCAGTGATAACATTAGGCTATAAGCTTAGATCAAGGAATACATAATGAAAATGAGTACAGTCAATAATGATTTTTGTCCATTTTGTGGATTTTTAAAACAACTGAGTACCATGGTCAAATGTAAATCTTGTATCAACAATGATACAGAATTAAAAAATCAGAATAAGTTACAGAAATGTTCATGTGAATATTGTTTGGGTATTGGATTTCATGTGCCACAAGAACCAGTTGACTCTTGGACAGATATGTCTAAAGACAATAATGCAATCAAGAATCAGCATCAAAAGAAGTGTGTAAGCAAAAGGCATTCGAAACCAGACACAGAAAAAGAGTGCAAACAACTCAGAATTGAACAAGAGTGTTGTGATCTTTCATTTGAATGGGACGGCCCTTCTTCAGTATCAGATTGGACAGAAGAACCTTTTTTTGAGGATTGGGGGAGTCCAGAACCAAATGAGGCAAAAGGTACTCAGGTTATGGAACCCAGTGATGAAACCAAACAGATATGGATGAGGTAATTGTTGCATCTAGTCTTGTTTCTAAAGGGTACAGTCATTTTATATATATTTAAAAAAATGTCAAAATGTTTTTATGGGGTTCTGGTTCTCCAGTAACTCAACGCAAAATGTGCCATAGCAGTTCGAACAGTTTGAAGTTTTTGTAATAATATTTGGTCAATTTTATTGATTTTCATATATTTGTCATGTGATATTTTAAAGGTACAGGTAGCCAATTGTTTTGACCAATCATATTTTATTATAAGAAATTGTAGTTTTTTAGCTCACCGTCGAAATTTGAGCCTTCAAATCGATGTGTGTCCAGAATTATATATTCAAGACTAAAATCAACCCCTAAAATGGCACACCTGTCCTTTTAAGCTTTCATTTGTACTGTTTAAGGGAACAGAATGAGTGGAAGCAGCAATTGGTATTAGAAGACAATACAGAAATAATCAAATTAAAGAGAGCCATAAACGATAAAGACTATTCTAATGGACAGTTTCATTTTGGTGGTATGGATATATCATTTGTTAAGGGCGATGCTGTGAAGGCATGTGCTGCATTGGTAGTTCTTAGTTTTCCTGATTTAAAGGTGAATATGTTTTGTTTATTATCATGTGATTCAGTCAAGCCTGTACAAGTTGATTCCTGTGATCAATGTGCTCCTTCAGTCAATGGCCTGTGCTGAACTGAGTAAACGGTCACAGATTCTGACTGCTCTTCATGAATTGAATTTCAATAGAAAGTATAGGACAAGCAACTGTTTGGAAATTATGATTCCTTGGTCAGCAGAGGACATAGATGAACTAATCAGATTCCCCTAGATGTCACCAATATGTAAAGAGTGACATAAATATTCCAGATCCCCACGTTATAGTTTTCTAAGTTTTATTAATTGAAATTCATTTCAAGGTAGTGTATGAAGATTATGAAATGGTTGAATTAACAGAGCCTTATATTCCTGGTTTCCTGGCATTCCGTGAAGCTGGTTTCCTTATTGATTTATATAATAAACTTGTTTCATTTCATCCACAATTTACACCAGATGTAAGTTTAAGTTAAAGGGATTGTAAAGAGGTTTTCTAAATTTTGTATGTGTGTCAAGGAAAATGATTGTCAAGGAAAATGATAGCATCAATTTCCTTCATTCTAATTTTCAATCAGACATCTATGGTTGTAGAAATTCCAGTGTTTAATGATGCCACCCTCTACAAAGGTCTTATGTGATACAAGAAAATTTTGTGTGACATCATAAAACACTTAGTTTTAGTGAAATTGCAGAAACCACAGACGTTTGATTGTAAATTGGAATGGTGCAAATTGATGCTATCAGTGTCCCCGATAAGCATAAAAAATTTAGAAATCCTCTTTACATTTCATCTAAAGAATTGTTTTTCTCTTCACAAAGGCCATATTGGATCAAACCTTATTCTACCTAAAAATTAAACTCGCAATTTTGAAGGCAAACATTTGAGTTGCACCAAATTAATTCAATTTTTAGAAGCTTTCTTATGAGAACCATTTCAGATGCTCCTAAGAGGCCTACAACTATTATGTCCCCGAGTTGCTGAATTTTGAATTAAGCCTTGACAGTTGTCTCCCCATTGAGTCAGTCTGCGGTGTATTTGTACCCCCAGTCTCAGGGGATTGCCCGCCACTGAGTTGTACATCTTTGTTTAGTCAATTAAATGTTCTGCAATGTTGTTTTTATTCTTGAAAATGTGAATTTATTTGTGATCTGATTTCTCTCTTTTACAGGTGATATTTTTAGATGGAAATGGAATTCTTCATCCAAGAGGTATACCTTTTATAATAAATTGAATGATTGAATTCAAGAGGATTTATACAAGATAGCTTTTGAACTCTGAGGTAGAGCTGCATGCATCTTGAATTTTCAACAGTGATATCTGAAATTTAGATCTTTAAGCAAAATTTGCTTCAACAGTCGGGTGATAAAATCTCTACACTATAAAACTCAACTTGAAATAATGAAAAATATTTTTATTTTGATGACTGATAATTATTTGTTTTTTTTTACATATTTATCAACAGAATTTGGTTTAGCGAGTCATGTTGGAGTTTTAATGCATACACCATGTATAGGTGTTGCTAAAAATTTAATACATATTGATGGTGTAGAAAATGATGAATTTAAAGCTTTAGTAAGTTTTATAAATTGATTTTTTACAGGATTTCTTACAGGAATCATTTCTGCACTTGAGCAAAGATATTTATGCTGAATTGGTATGGCTCAAACCATAAACACTAATTGTCATTATTAAATTTAAGCAATTGCCAAATTTTTTTTCAAATTTCAAATCTAGCCACAATTATTTATTTTTTTTTTCAGAAAAGAACTTTAAAGAAAGGTGGAGACACAATGCCAATTAAAAATAGTTCAGGAAAGACACTGGGAATGGTAAAATAATGATTTAATTTTTGTTTTTGTGTGTTTTTATACGCCCACATCTGTCTATGTGGACGTATATTGTCGGCGCCACTGTCCGTCGGTCCTTCCCCCGTCTGTCCGTCAACATTCGCTCTAAAAACTCGATTTTTGATGGAATCAAATGAAATTCAATATGTGTATGTGTATGTGTATAAGTTCAAATTTGAGTTATTTTTGACCGTTAGAAGCAGAGTTATTGCCCTTGCCCCAAAATCTTGAATATGCTATTACTGTCTTAGTTTTCAACCGATTTTGATGAAACTTATAATGGATGTTATTGAAAGGTTTGAGAAAGTTTAGTTTACTTCTGATAAGATTTAAGGCTTTTTCAAGATTTAGGACTATTACATCAGTTTTGAGGAGTTATCGCCCTTTAACCTCTATACAGTAAGTGCTTCTATCAACATCAATTGCTCGTAAACACTCTGTCCGTCCGTCAACATTTGCTCGTAAACGCTCTAAAAACTAGATGGAATCAAATATAATTCAGTATGTGTATACATATTCATAAAACGAAGATCAAGTTCGAATTTGAGCTATTTTTGACCGTTATTGCCCTTGCCCCAAAATCTTGAATATGCCATTACTCTCTTAGTTTTCAACCGATTTTGATGTTTCGTTTTTACCATCCGCATGCCGTGGTGGGCGTATATGGCTGAGGTCCACTATCTTTACATTTGCTTTTGGAAACTGATTTCAACAATTAAAAGAGTCCAACTCATGTTGGGTACCCTCCTTCACAATTGGTACATTTGAACCAGCTGTTTTTTGTGAAGCCAATAAATCACAGAGAAGCGAATGAGGTGAAATTACCAAAGATTTTAAAAAGAGAATATTATTATTTACAGGCATTAAGAAGTTTAGACAGTACAACCAATCCAATCTATATATCAAGTGGACATTTAGTATGTTTAGAAACAGCTGTATTGTTAGTGCAAGCTTGTTGTAAATATAGAATACCAGAACCAGTTCGACAGGTATAATATAAACCTTTTTCTTGCCTCGTATTTGGTTCATAAGGCAAATTACATCATCCAATCAGTGTCCTCAAAATATATTAAAAGTTTAGAATCCCTAAATAGTTGTAGTAGTTATGAAAACATTTTTCTGACTTGCGTAACTCCTAAAGGCCTACTGTTTATTTTACGCATAAGCTTGATAAATATTTTAAATAAATAAGAACACTATTATGGATATCTCTTTCCTTTAATCTTTGCAACATTTCAATTCACATACAGGAATCTTTATCAAGCACAAAATAATAATGATAGAAAACAGAACAAGTATATATACAGTTAAAAAAAACTGACATCTGATAAATATTGTTTAATTCAATTACTATTTATTCTACTGAATAATTTTGACATCTTATCATTTTGGTTTATGCACAAATATCTTTCTATTTTTATTACAGGCTGATTTAAATTCAAGAGAATTTTTAAGAAAAGCTGGTTTTATGTAGTTATATTCAAGAAAAGACAATATTTTTCTGTGATATTTTTTTTATTGTGATAATGTAGCTTGTGTTATTGTCCAATTTTATATTTTATTCTCAGACTTTTAATTAATATTTTTAACAGAGAATTATTTCATATAATCAGCAAGAAGTGGTATTTTTCATGTATATATTGACTTTAATATTAATCTTGTTATCTCTATGGGCTTAAGAAGGTTATCAAAATTCAATGAACTTTTAAATAAAATATTTTCATCAAAAACTTGTATCTGTATGGGCGATAACAAGGGGTCTGGAGATTTTCATGTCATTAATATAAAATGAAAATTCGCACAGTTTTGAGACTGGGATTGCTTGACGGTGGAAGGGAAGTAACTACAATTTATTTGGTGTAATTTCAGACCATAAATAACTTGTAAAATACGATTCTTCGCGAAGCTAATACAAACCAGCATCATCGGTCAGTCTGACTGGAATAGTTAAATAATCATCTTTGATTCCTGACACAGCCTTATTTGGTTCCAATTTCTTATTTTCATTTATTTGAATTTTTGAAAAATTCCATTATGGGTAGTTTTTTTTCCATGAAAATTTCGTCAGATTTAAGTTGTCTCCCCTTGATCACACACCATTCCTGAAAAAATTACATCAGTCAAAGAAAGTCAAGTAATTCAAAGTTTCGAGGATGATTTCATTAAACGATTCTGTTCGAATGTGGTAACATTAGAAAATAAATTTGAACAGACCTTCATTAACAGGTGAGTTTATATTTTGGCGATTTTGGCGGAATTTTGACAGTTGTCAATAAACACAGCTGTTTTTACGAGACTACAGACCAAATCAAATTTTCCCTGATAACAATGAGTTCTTGGCTCTTTTCTCAATCTGAGACTGAGGAATGCATCTAAAACAGAAACCCCAAGTTGTTAAATTATGTCATAAGTTTTTAACCTCGTGACTGCATATTAGAATTTCATTTGATAAGATCTTAGCACAAAACTAAAAGGACATTAATTTAAGTTACCACCACGAATTTTATAATACCACAATATCCAAGTCCAAGTGACCTGAAATATTGACCTCTATCTCCTTGAATCAATATATAATATCTCTGTAAATATTAGATGTGTGTTAATATTGGCCTAATTTACGCAAGTGGTAGGTTACGGTATACAATTTTATGGGTAGGTTACATCTGAATTACTTTCTTAGTACAGTTGTACTATAGTACCGGTAATGATATTAAGAATTTGTTTTTTGTCTTATATCTCAATATCTGGAGATGGAGTGGCTTTGTAATTAAACATTTGCTAACTAACCAACTTAAACCAAGGTCCATGTGCATATCCACTTTCAGTAAAGCAGTAAGCTGCTCTGTCTTAACTTTCATCATTACACAATATAACATGGCATTGTCCATTTGCATTCTCATCTGGAGCAGGAAATTGGAACATGAAACCTATTTAAAGGGACATTCTGCTTTTTTGAAGGTCGAAAAATTTTTTTGCTGACATAAACTATTAACCAAAATCTATAGAATTATGTATCCCATAATGTATCATAAAGTAACCTTTTAAAGTTCGTTATGCTTTCTGAAAGTTAATAGTGTATGGATTTAAGTAAAATACACATTTTGTTTTCTTAAGATTTGAACTAAATATAACAAGCCATTAAAAAGCCAGTCACTGAAAATGCTTAATTAACAATTAGTACTCTCAGTTTTTAATTAACCCTAGTAAAACAAATTCAGTTTGATCAAGTAGATATATAGAAATAATTAGCATAATCTAGAAATATTTTCAGGTATAATTTACGACATTTTTGATAATGAAAATGTTTAACAAAAAAAGCGGATGGCTTTAAATTATCTCAAAATCTGAAACTAATTCTATTAAATATTTTGTGGGTCACTGCTTGAAACCTTGATACAAGGTTTTTCTGTTTTCATCCGCAGAAAAAGGAAGATTATATTTTACGAGGATTTAAAGCAGACTGTTTATATACATGTTATTTAATTGGTGGTTTGGGGTTATTTACAATCAAGCTAAGAATAAGGGGTTTTGATCACCAAATCAACACTTTTACGAACTTTTGAACAGTATCAAAAAGTGCAAATGACCAAATATGGCATATACGAGATTACAAGCAGTCACCCACGATATAAAATTATATGTTAATATTAATATATTAATGTAGGCTACAGCTGTTTATAATTTGCTGTCTACATAGCTTAACACTAATGCAAATAACAATAAAGATAAAATGAAAGGTAATTGGTACTAAATTATGGCCTAGTTTATAGGAGAAGGTTTGCCATCCAATTGACTAATTGTACCTTGCTTTCAGAAACAGTATTTCTTTTAGCTATGTTAAACGGTAAAAGTTCTCACAGCTCATCATTGACATTTGAGCCTTTAAATACATGGGAATTATGGGATTTGTTTTAGTATTTATAAAGACAAATTACACATATTCAAGACCCAAAGCGACCCCGACAATTAGCAGCCTTTAAACTTAATAGATTTTTTCCTTATTGTGTTTAAATATCTCTATTAAATTTCTTATTCTTTGCAGATTTACTCATTTACTGAAGATGAAACTTACACTTGAAGATAATCCTGAAAATATTACAGATCATGACATCGACTCCTGCACCGATGAGGATGTCTGCAGCCTGTCTGATAGTTGCCATGACAACAAAAATCATGATGATGATGCACCAAAAGTGACATTTTATGTTGAAAACGATGAACAGAATGAGGAAATTGAAATTGAAACTGATAATGTAAACAAAGCACAAGAAGGGGGATGGGGTTGGTTTGTAGTTCTGGGATGTCATCTGCAACATATAATAATTGGTACGTTGATAATCATTCTGTATTTTTACTCAAAGGGACAGATTCACCATCTGTTTGACAGCTTGTACCGTAGTCAAAAACGGGAAATTTTTAGCTAAGCCAATCAGTCATAATGTTCACAGCTCACCATCAAAATTCAAGCCTTCAACTCCATGTGTGTCCATAATTATCTGCATTTGAAAGTTGAAATGATGAGTTCTCTATTCTTTTCCCTGTAACATGGAACAAAACTCAACAACAAGTGTCTTAAAGGAAATCAGAATAATTCTAAAAGGCTATTTTCTAACACACACACACAAGTCTTAGAAAACCTCTTGAACTTAGGACAAGTCAATCATAATAGTATTAAAGTGAACCCCTCCTTTGCACTTTCCAGGAGGTTTTGAGAGATCTGATGGTGTACTGTTTCTGAAACTTATGAGTAAATTTAATGGTACTGCTTCAGCTACATCGTGGGTTTGCTCCCTTAGTTCTACTGTACGATTAATGATAGGTAGGTCTTTCTCTTTTAAATCAAAAAACCACCTTGTCTGGAATGACATTAAAAAAAAAACATCTTTCAACAACGGTCAGATATGGCAATATTGGGAAAATTCTAAATGAGGCAATATTTCTTTAATTTATAAATTCCTATACCCTATTATATACTTTATGGTATTTACCATGATTCTGGTATATCACCCAGCCCAATATCTCTGTTTTGATTGTTTTTAGGTCCATTAGCCAGTGCTATGTGTAACAGGTTTACATGTCGTTATACAACATTTGTTGGTGCTGTGTTATTTGCTGTTGGAGTTTTACTAAGTGGTCTAGCTCCAAGTTTAGTGTATCTTTATTTCACTTATGGTGTTCTTGGAGGTAAAATTATTTACTGAAGCTACTCCCTGACATTATGGCAAGAAAATTTTCATTCAACAACAAAAATGAGATGTTTTGCTTCCTCCATTTTAAAAGACAAATATTTCAGGAAAAATTGGGAAATCTGCTTTTATGTAAAAACCTTTGTACCTAAATATTTGAACAAAAAAATAATGAAAAAAACTGTAAGATCATGCCTGATTAAAAAAAAAAAACTTAGTAATCTAGTATTTCATACATTTTTGTATATATTGTATATAGTCCTTTGTCTAATACTCATTTACCTGCTTGAGTTCTTGATTAAGCTGAATTTTTGCTAATCATGTCACTTTCTGAGCCTAAATCAAACTCCTGTCTTGTCTACAATTTTATAAGGAAAACTAATGTTTTTGTGGTTGTTAATGATTAACATAATATGATTTGGAATGTTAATAACTTACTGATTTGACTGTTTACTGAAATGTTGTATTGTTGACAAACGGAATGCCAGATTTTCATTCTTAAAAGTGATACAGATGGGTTGAAAACAGATAAGAAAAGACCACAATTTCCCTTTAACAGTTTTCATTGATTTATAGGTATTGGAAGAAGTTTAAGCTATACCCCAGGATTACTAATAGTGGGCTTATATTTTGATAAAAAACGTGGATTAGCGTCAGGAATAAGCTCAGCTGGTGTTGGCATTGGAACTTTTCTTTTACCTTTGGTATTTGAGATTTTATTTGAAGAATTTGACTTTTTTGGAGCTTTTCTGATTCTTAGTGCCATACCTTTAAATTTGTGTATTTGTGCCATGTTATTCCGACCATTATACATTCATCATAGCATCGTCAGAGCTGAAATGTAAGCATATCTTTATTTAGACAAAATTCTAAGCTTCTAACATATCATTTATCATTTTTTTGAAAGCTTAATTCATGGCTGCATCCACATGGACTTTCACAAGTATTTAAGCTTCTTGTCGACCAAATCTTATATCCTTTATCATTTTTGAAAGCTTAAATCATGGCTGCATCCACATTTTCCCTCAGACTTGCACAAGTATTTTGGCTTCTTATGGACTAAATCTGATATCCTTTATCCTTTTTTGAAAGCTTAAATCAAGCTGCATCCACATGAACCTTTAGACTTGGACAAGTTTTTAAGCTTCTGAAGAACCAATAATGTATCACTTATCATTTTTGAAAGCTTAAATCAAAACATTTTCCCTTAAACTTGGACAAGTTTTTAAGCTTCTTGTGGATCAAATCCTTTATCATTTTTGAATCAAGGCTGCATCCACATGTACCTTTAGACTAATCTAATGTTAATTAATGGGATTATCCTCATGATAATATTTGAGCATGTATCAAAGCTTTTCCATCTCAATGTTAGAGCTTCCAGCTTAATAACTTGCCCTTCTGAAATACACGATGATGTACTTCTACTACAGCATTTCACAAGACACAAGATAGATTTAAAGGGACTATAAAGAGGTTTTCTGACACTGAGAGACACTGATAGCATCAATTTGCACCATTCCAATTTTCAATCATATGTCAGTGGTTCTTCCAATTCCTGACAGAAAATTGGAATGGTGTTAATTGATGCTATCAGTGTCTCCAATACACATAAAAAGTTTAATAAACCTCATCTATTTCAGAAAAAAGAATTTGTCACAAAATACAGCTCTAAATGTCGAAGAAGGCATTCCTCTTTCTCCCTCAGCAATTTCAACAAGGGAGATAACTACTGAAAACACAACAACCTCAACTGCAACTCAAACAGATCCTGAAATGGGCAAAAACAGTCTTCAGAAATTCTACATGAAATATATTAAACCACAAAAAACAGAGACAAACCAAAGGAAACTGATTGATTTTTCTCTTTTGAAAATTCCTTCTTTTCTGTTCTTCTGTATCGGCATTGCCATCTTTACTGCATCCTTTAAATCAGCTTTTACATTTCTACCAGCTTTAGCGAAGGCCAACGGATGTACGGAACGTGAAGCAGCTTTAGTGATGTCAGTTACAGGAATAGTGGACACAGTTTCTCGAATCGGAGCAGGATTTCTCCTGGAACTTGGACCAATTAAACCATTTCGTCCAGTAGTTTACAATGTAGTGATGTTTGTCATTGTTTTGGTGACGTTTCTGTGTCCACAAGCTGAAGGCTTTTTAGAATATTGTTTAGTTGGTTGTGTTTATGGATTATTGACTGGTGGATATATAAGTCAAAAGTCAGTAATAATTGTAGATATTCTAGGAGCAGATAAGATTTCTCATTCTTTTGGATTAATGATCTTTTTTCAAGGACTGGGAACTCTGGTGGGACCACCCCTATCAGGTAAGATAACAGTGTTCTTCTCGTTTGTTGGTAGACATAGTGCAGCACAGACAGCTCTTATTGTTTTAGCTGACAACTGTCATGGTCTCTTGTTATGCCATTTTTATTTTGCAACTTCTGAAATTTGCAAATCAAATGCCAATTTAATTATCAGTATTAGTGATAGCACTATCTAACTTAAAATCCATCCAAATATCCGAACTTTCGTTTTTTTTTTAATTATTAGCTTTTGTTTTTAATTTAGCCACATTAGGGTCTAACGACGGCTCTGTGAAACATTCATCCGTTTGATAACAACCAGCCAATCAAATTCCTTACTTCTTATAATGCATTTTTTGTTCATGCTGTTATACAAGTGGCTAAATCAAAATTAAATCTAATAAAAATGGGGTGAGTTTATTGATGAACAATAATTGGTTCTATGAATATATATTATGTATTAATTCATTTGCATCACCTGTGCTATTTTTTAAAACTTTAATCTGTTTATTTGCAGGTTTACTAAGAGATATTTTTGGAACCTATGATGAAGTATTTTATTTAGGAGGTGGTTTAATGTTTGTAGCCAGTTTGGTCATGATTCTATCAAATGTTTCTCGTGCTCTACAACTCAAAAAGGACCAAAAACAAGCAGTAACAAATTCGGAAAATGTAGCACCTTTTATGTCACAAGCTCCAAGAAAATCATTTATTTCTTAACAGAAATTTTGCCATTTTTCATGTCATTGGCTAATCATTATCATGTCAATGTGACTTTTGGATATAAATTCATGCTCAGGATGCTTGTTTGGAAATGGGTGCTTAATTTCCAATATTTGAAGATGTGTGAGCCAATGAACTGGGTGAACTTGGATTGTTCCAACATTTGTTTCAGATATAAAATCATGTTCAAGATGCCATTTTGGAAATAGGTGCTTAATTTCCAATAACTGAAGATGTATGAGCCACTTTTAAGAACTTGGTGAACTGGATTTAGCCGTGATGGTTCTTTGGATTGACCATGATGTGGATGAGATTGTACTTCCAAAATTTTCAAACCAGTTTCCCCCTGCCAATGATGCAGACAAGGGGTTTTAATATGGTTATGATTAATGCGACGTGTGTGCTATAAAGATCCATTGACAGACATGTATTGAAAAAGATATGCCAAATACCACTGCCTTAACAATATTTCTTTCATTGCACACAGCATGGTGTTGTCTCTTTTTTTCAGAACTTTTCTTTTATGAACTGGAGAAATCAGACTGTTCTTTGGTATAAAGACTCAAATCTGCTGATGAATTGTACAGTACCATTGTATGGTACCACTTCCCATAATCCAATTCCATTAAAATTAGTCAATGAAGTCTTCAAAAGCGGGAAAGTGAATGTGCTCAATTTTCTCCTTTTTTATTCAGTCTAAGTATGAACAGTACTGTTTCAAATCAGTAATGAAAAGTTTTGGAGTTTTACATCCTACTCTTTGAACTTGAAGGAATCTAACTTTTTGTGAAGAGTCTTATATGTTTATGTATCTATGAAATCCAGAAATTTGTCATTTCCGTAGGGCATGACCTCAGACGTAAGAATTCCATTTACAGTTGATCAAAGATGCACATTTGTGTACAACCAAAACATTCAAGTTATTTTTTTTAAAAATGCATTTCCAAAAAGAGCAATAGTAATCAGAGAGTAGTCATTATGTACATTCATTTGTGTAATTAAAGGGATTGTCAAGAGGATTTCTACACTTTTAATTTGTATTGGGGACATAGCACCAATTTGCACCATTTGAATTTTTTAAATCAGAAAATGTGGAAACTGTGGTTCCTGCAATTTCACTTCCTACTTTATAACCTAGGCCAGTGCTTTTTTGAGAATACTATTCTCATCTCACTCTAACACTGAAATAAAGTCTTTGATGACGTCATTAATTGCAAAATATGCTTTATCCCATAAGGCCCTTCGTGAATAGTGACATCATCAAACGCTTAGTTTACTTCGATCCTATACACCTAAAAAGTTTAGAAAACCTCTTGACAATCCCTTTAAATAGGAAAATTGAAATTTTTTTTTCTAGTGTAAAATTATCAGACCTTATATTTCTACAGACATTTGAAAATATTATTTTATAAAATAACAGAAATCAAAGTTGTAAAAGAAAAGAGAACATAGCTTTCAGGGAATAGTCATCATGTACATACATATGTCTCATTTAAATAAAATCTCTTTATTGTTATGCATTCATCATGTCATTGTTATATTTTGAACCATGATTAGATATTGTTTATATTAAACATTTTTACACTTGTATACATATAATATATATTTGTCACAAAAAAAATTCAAGCTTGGTTGTTTGTCTTCATTATTTTTCATCAGCTAATCAAAAATTGCTACAAGAAGCTGAAATTGAGCTCTATCAGCTGTTAATCAAACATTGGAAGTGCTTCATGCAATTTCACTATCATTCAGTGACACATTGCTATCACAAAGCCCTTAGATATTATCTGTAATGGGAATATCAGAATTTATTAGCCAAGCTGATCAGTAATAGTGTTCACAGCTCACTGTGAAATTTGAACCTTCAAATCCATGTATATCTATACTAGAATTATCAGCGTATGAAAGTTAAAAAGATGGCCGATTTTCTTGATGCCCCATGTAAAGAAAAAGGAAGTGAAATTTCAATTTTGAAGTATATTTATATGAATTATGCCATTTTCATCTGGTTCTGAAGACTATTTACATATATTCAATACCAAAATCAACCCCCAAAAATGGTAAACCATGGCTTTTAACTTCAAGTAGTGTCTACGGTGCAAATACAAAATGACAACACCTCTCTTTAATCACTTTAATTCAGCTCTTTAAATCAATATATATATCATTTTATTATATAAAGAAATTTCATCTGGACCAAGTACCATTAGAGTAAAATATAATTTCACAAACCTAGAATGCTACTAGAGCTGGGTAAAATAATCGATCATTGTTACCACGTATTTTCTTTATCGATTATATGGCAAAGTTACATACTTTCCTGTGTACATGATCCATCTCAAGATCTTTCATAAAGTTTTTGAATTTTATACAAAGACTTCTCATATTAATGATTCTTATTTTCTTCTAGATACATGAAAAGATTTTGTTTTACAATACAGGTTCTATCTTGAGATTATTATTGATATATCAGAAGAACATTAGCTGAAGATATTTCAGTTAAAGAAATGATACTACCACAGATAGTATTACAGAGACATCCTTAGTTAACATATCTAATTATCTTAACCTTAGATACTACCACAGATAGTATTACAGAGACATCCTTAGTAAACATATCTAATTATCTTAACCTTAGATACTACCACAGATAGTATTAAAGAGACATCCTTAGTTAACATATCTAATTATCTTAACCTTAGATACTACCACAGATAGTATTACAGAGACATTCTTAGTAAACATATCTAATTATCTTAACCTTAGATACTACCACAGATAGTATTACAGAGACATCCTTAGTTAACATATCTAATTATCTTAACCTTAGATACTACCACAGATAGTATTACAGAGACATCCTTAGTTAACATATCTAATTATCTTAACCTTAGATACTACCACAGATAGTATTACAGAGACATCCTTAGTTAACATATCTAATTATCTTAACCTTAGATACTACCACAGATAGTATTACAGAGACATCCTTAGTTAACATATCTAATTATCTTAACCTTAGATACTACCACAGATAGTATTACAGAGACATCCTTAGTTAACATATCTAATTATCTTAACCTTAGATACTACCACAGATAGTATTACAGAGACATCCTTAGTTAACATATCTAATTAACCTTTAACTTACACTTCGTTGTATCATAAATCTTTACTTAAATTTGTTTTTATCACCCAATTTCATTAAAATCAATTGAAGACTATAGTCTATTGTGTTCACAAACCAATTTTGACCTAATTTTCCATAGTCAAGGGAAATAACTCAAAAACCTTTCATCAAATTTTCAAATTTGAATTTGTTCAAGAACTAATGAATATAAATGATCGCACCAAATTTCATTAAAATCAGATAAAACCTGTGGTCTCTTTTGTGTTCAAAAGCCAATTGTGGACCGACGGATTGACAGAGGCAACGACAATATACAACCACATTGTAATATGTGCATATAAAAACCAACCAAATAAATGAATATTCATTTTATCATACTTTCATAGCACACAAATAAACCACAGAATTAATAACTTTGATATGCTATTTATCCAGTATTTAGAATATATTAATATTAATATTTCAATTATTAATTGATGATTTATACCCAGCCCTAGTTGCTATATTGTAATAGATTTAATATCAACGATGCCTTATGGTACAGAACAATATCAAATGTTTTTTCAATTACTTTAATTATTAGAAGGCTTTCAATAAAAGAAAATTGTACATTAAAAGTTTTAAAAGAAAACGGATATCTAACTTTAAATGCAACAATTCAAAGGAATAATTAGAGTAAAGCATAACTATAGATCAATGTTGTAAATTATAATCAACAGCTGTCAAAACATATCTATTATTTAATTGGTGCTTCATATTACAAATAATATTTTGAATTAATTCATCATCCAAAAGTTAATTTTGAAACATGTTCCTAGGTCAAAAAATTTAATATTTATTAGCAAATAGTCAAAGTTCAAGTTTGCATTTTTTCCATTCTTTCTTTCTTAGACAATTTTAAATTATCCATGAAAGAAACATTGGTTCTATGGATATATTCTACTTATCCGTGACCTTGACTGAACTGACAGCAATCCTTCCAGATTATCAATAAGATTTGAACTATATTTAGAAGCAGAGAGCATTATCATTAGTTTATCCATATTCATTTACAAAGATTTTAACCTTTATAGGGATTGTAAAGAGGATTTCTTATGCGTATTAAGGACACTGATTGCATCAATTTGCACCATTCCAATTTTCAATCAAACGTCTGTGGTTCCTGAATGTCCACTAAAACTAAGTGGGTGACGTCATTAAGCACTTAGTTTTACTAGAATTGCAGTGACCACAGTGACTTAAAAACATCTACTAAATAAACGGTCCACCATTGTGAACTTATCAAGTCTGTCAATTTTATATACAATTCACATGCAAATATTACAAACATTCTGAAGCACAATAAACACAGCAATGTGTGAACAAAGCCAAAATTAATACAGATAATAATAATAATAATAATAATTGCAAGAGGTAAAGTAACATTAAAGAATGCACTATGTTCATAAATATTATATTGGTACCTGAAAGGTATACTACCTCTTAGGATGACAAAAAATTGAAATTTTTAACCTTGACAAAACGAGTAATTTGTTCATCAGTGGACTGACCTGGTGTCATAACTATACAACAGAATCCTTCTATAATTCAATAAAGTCCAACTGATGAATATATACATGTGTTGACCAAGTTTGAGACTTCAAATTTAATGAGCATTCTAAGGGGTAGTATTCCTTCAACAGAGCCATAACAATGTCTGTTGTTCACTGAAACTCCACTGAACATATTTATTACACTATACACAGTTAAATATAGGTTTAGATATCACTTATCAGTTACATAGTCTTAGTAGCATCACAAGAATGGATTGGAAGAATTTCCTCTAGGTGCCACTGGTTGTGTGTTGGCCGCTTGCATGAAAGGATTAACAGGCTGTGACTGATTCCATGCCCCAGCTGAGGGAGCAGGAGCACCGAAACCTTGAGATTGATCAGTTGGCCAAAAGCCAGATGCTGGCTGAGCAGGAGTAAATCCTGTTGAAGCCAAGTTACCATTATGCCCAAAGAAATCATTACTTGACGACTGTACAGGTGGATTGTTCCATGATGCAAATCCTGTTCCACCAACTGGCTGAGCTGGTTTTCCAGATAAATCTGCCAAACCAGATGCAAATGGATTTGCAACTGATGTCGGCGCCATACCCATTTGACCAATACCCATCTGTCCTGTTTGGCCCATACCCAATCCAATTTGGCTAGGTTGGTTCATCATCTGTGGAGATTGTCCCATTCCAATCTGTGTATTCTGGCCTAAACCCATGGGACTTTGTGTTGCAGTTGCACTAAATGGATTTGCTACACCTGATGACGTACCTCCCCAGTTCAAACTACCCGAACTTGTATCCGCCATGCCACCTCCCCAACTCAATCCCCCTCCTCCACCTAAAGTGCTAGCTGGTGCTGTTGAGGAATTACTTGGCCAAATATCATTAGGTCTACTGGCCTCTGTGCTAGCTGGAACTGGATCAGAAAATAAGTCTGCAAATGCTGAATATTTGTCTGAAACTGTCGGAGTTGTTGTTGATGAGGATGTAATACTGCTAAATCCTGTCGGCGTATTTGCACTAGAACCAGGTCCTGCCACAGGAAATGGTGCTGATGAAGCAATTGGGGCAACTGGTGCTGATATGGGAGCACTGGAGCCAAAGGGATCAGATCCAAAATCTCCAAAAATATCCACATTAGATTTGGGTTGTCTTACTGGAGCTGGCGGTTTTTGCGGTATGTTTGCAGTAACAGGCGCTGGTTGGCTTACAGCTGCAGATGTGGGCATTGGAATAGTTCCTATAACACCTTGTGCTGAAGAGACTGGATGTGGATGTTGGCGGTTTGCTTGTGTTGAATGGCTGTTTTGAAGTACCAGTTTAGGGGTTTTATCCCCTAACAAGGATCTCAATGGTTTCGTCTGAGACTGTTTATTTATTGCAGCCTCATTCATTCTCTTGGCTTCATCTTTCATTTCTTGTGTTGGTGCATTGTACCACCTCTTATTTTCATACTTTTGTACCATAAAATCTTTCACTCTTTGTTCATCTTTTGAGTCAGGTTCTGGCCACGATCTACTGTCATATAATCCTAAATAAACCTTCCGACATAACTCATTGCTGTGAGATTTTAAAGATTCTAGTTCCTCTGGTGAAAAGCTTGCCATCGAAATGGACTTGACCCGGTGTGGTGGATTCAGCCCTCGTAAAATACCACTACAAGACGTACAGACAAAAGAACCAATCGTCATATTGACATATGTTGGGCCTCTCTGGTGACAATCAAAACATTGCTTATTACACGGTAATGCCACCATATCTCGTAATATTTTAAGATGTTTCTCATCTTGCTTCTTTTTATTTGACGCCATCTTGCCGGAAACGGATTTGACAGCTCAGGGTGCGCTTCGTTTCATACTGTATACTGACTGTTTCATGCTCGCATTGTCCGAAAGTTCTAATTTCTGATTAGTTTAATCAGAAACTCTTTATTGCAAGAGTAAGATTCAATTTTACGATATCTCATCAGTAAGATGACGGAAATCCGACTAGAAACCAAACGAGATATTCCATTACAATCAATTATACATTCCATGTAATTTTGAAAATCCACATTTTTTTTTTTCACCTGAGCCATCATTTCTTACTATGCAGTGTACATCTTCAAAGAATTACGGATATCTTGGGCATGCCTTTAATCATACTAAAATGTGGGTTAAGTCGGACTACACAAAACGACCAAAAAGTAAGGTTCAATGAAACGAACTATTTTGGGCAATTGAGTATTCAATGATTAATTCAGGTGCGGTTTATTTACTTGTAAGTGACAACATGAACCTGTCGACATGGTTATCTTATCAATTAATTATAATCAGTAAGCTGATTAATTGAGGAACTTGTAATCTGTGTATATCATATATCAGTAGCGCGTGAACTGGACACCTGTTACGAGCGACTGGATAATGAAGCCAACAGTGATTTAACGGAAGTTGATTGAGAGTTGTCCCTAGTGTAGACTTCTGGGAAATTACACTTCTTGCTTCTCCACGTGCTTTTTAGAGAAGAAGTACAACGTGTTGCTTGTTACAAATTTAAAGTTGCAATAATATAATTACAGTAAAATGGGTAGACCAGGTATGATTCAATTTGGTTTTAATCACTATTTTAAAGTATTTGGTTCAAATCTGCGTGCAAATAAAATAATGTCAGTGATTAATAGTGGAAATGTTTTCGAATATTGTAAGGAGCGACTCTGAACATGCATTCATGCATGCTTATTACTGTGTCCTTGTTGTGGATCTTGACTGTGGCTCTGATCATTGCAGTATGATAACTTACTGTTCCCTGTGAGCACAGTCTTTCGTCCGTGGTGCCAGTGCATTAGGACACTCATTATTTCTTTTATGTTATTCAGGTTTCAGCCCCAGAGGAGATAGAGGAGGATTTCGAGGAAGGGGCGGTGGTGATCGAGGGGGAAGGGGAGGATTTAGAGGTGGTCGTGGAGGAGGGGGAGATAGAGGAGGAAGAGGTGGATTCGGTGGAAGAGGAGGCGGGTTTGGTGGACGGGGAGGTGGAAGAGGCAGAGGAGCAGGAGGTATGTGCATTGTTATAATGTAAATATGCAGAGCTGAGAAGTTCACACTCTTTGTTGACAATCTTTGAATATACTAATATGTCGCTACAATTTGGGGTATGACTTTCATAATCTCAGCAGTTGCATCAGAAAATGAATTAATGAAGAATACATTATTTATTTTGCAGGCAGGGGAGGAAGAGGTGGTAAGTGTTATAATTTGTTCTAAATTTCAGAATTAAAAGATTTTCATATCGAAGTAAGATTATTTACACTGATTATTTAGGTGGTTCACACATTACAAAACATTTTAAACCGTTTGAATTTGTTTTTTGTTTTTTTTTAACAGGAAGGGGTGGTATGGCTGGAGGTAAACAGGTTATAATAGAACCACACAGACATCAAGGTATGCTTATATATTAAAGGGACATGTTCACTATTTTGTCTGGTTAATTTGGGTCTTGAATATATTTAGATAGTCTTCGAACAGAAATTAGAGTAATAGTAATGTAAGAATATCGCATTTTATATGGCAGAGTCGCAAACTTTAAACGCAGATGATTCTAGACACACATGCATTTAAAGGCGCAGATTTCACAAGTGAGCTGTGAACACTATATATGATTGAATTAGCTTTTAAAAAGTTCAAAAGGAAGAGTTGGTCAAATGAACCTGTCCCTTTTAAACAGTCTAATTATTTGAGCTGATTGGATGGCTTCAGATTAAGTCATGTCTGGTAACAAAATATCAATATTGTCTGTCTTTGTTTCCAGGTGTTTTCATTGCTCGCGGAAAAGAAGATGCCCTCGTTACTAAAAATATGACTCCTGGTGAAACAGTCTATGGTGAAAAGAAAATTTCAGTTGAGGTAAGTCCCAACATCTGTGAGCATCTGATTTTCAGTATTTGAAATTTGTGTCAGTAATGTCAAGCAATACATGGTTGTTTTGAACTTAATCCTTAGACCAAAGATTTGTTTTGTTTTTTTTTTCAGGAAAATGAAATAAAAATAGAATATAGAGCATGGAATCCATTCAGATCTAAGTTAGCTGCTGCTATTTTAGGTGGTGTTGATCATATCCACATTGCACCTGGTAGTAAGGTGTTGTATTTAGGTGCAGCATCAGGAACCACTGTGTCACATGTATCAGATATTGTTGGACCTGTGAGTATTCAGTTTTTGATTGTAGATTTTTCTCGTAACTTATTCCTGCAAAAGAGCAATGTTCTGAATTTTCTGTGGAACCAAAGCAAAGTTTAATGATGATATTCCAGTTCTGCTACTGAATAAGTGTGAAAGACATTATACCAAATAACTGAAAACCTTGCTTTGTGTTGAAGTCCATTCAATGAGACATATTGCCTATTCATCCAGTGTATGCATTGTAAAGTCAACTTGAATTTCTATGGAATTGATTTCAGGATGGTCTTGTGTATGCCGTAGAATTCTCACATAGAAGTGGTAGAGATTTGATTAATGTGGCCAAGAAACGACCTAATATCATACCTATTATTGAAGATGCTCGACATCCACATAAATACAGAATGTTAATGGGTAGGTAGTTCACATGTTCTAGCGTGATACATCTTTAGACTCCATGTTTGCCATAGATATTAGACTGGCTCTTAAAAGTTTTGACCCCTATGCGAACCATCCCTTTTGTGATAGGTCTAAGACTTAGTTCTAGGAAACTCATGGTTTAGCTGTAGTAGCATTATTACTGAAATAAACTCCCAAACTTTTCTTTTGTTCTTAAATTTCATATCATAAAAATGCATTATATTTTATGCTTGTCAACATCTACAAGTTAAAGAGGTAACACAAGTTAGTCTATATACCTGGTTCTTTGTTTAATGATGATGTTGAAGTTTCAGCCACTGAATTCTAGTGATTGACAAAATTGACTTCACTGAAAACATGTTGGTCTAAGAGGCAAAAAAAAGTACACTTCTTACTTTGATTTACAAATATTTTAAACTGGCTTATCAATTTATTCTAAGGTATGGTTGACACAATATTTGCTGATGTGGCCCAGCCAGATCAGGCCCGTATTGTAGCATTAAATGCTCACAATTTCCTTAAAAATGGCGGGCATGTAGTTATATCTATCAAGGTAAGAGGTAGAATCTATGGCAATCTGTTTAATGATGATGATTGAAGTTTCAGCCACTGATATCATAAATGATAGATAGGTTAACTTCACTGAAAACAGATCTTTTTCTTAATATTTTACCTCTAGTAGGTTATGTTCTTTCTGAATTGAAATACGCTGCTGTCTGAATATACCAATTCAAAATTATTGCCTTTGAACTTTTTCTATGGGATTGAGATGCCAAAAGCTGTTTTTGACCATTATCAAAATCTCAATGTATTATGAACTGTGTCCTATACCTTGTCTGCAATAATCACCTTTCTTGTATCACAAAACTATGCAATGCAGCGATTTGATTGGATTAAAACAACAAGCCTTGTTTACAGTTGTTTTATCCAGGACTCAGACACACTGTATTGGCCTGCATATAATCGAATCAAATCGCTGCACTACCTGATACAAGAAAGATGGCTACTGCAGTAGAAGTATAAGATGAAGTTTGTAATAGTTTGAAATTTTACAGATGCTAGTGGATAAAGTTGCTGATGAAGGCTAGTAAAAAAGTCTTTTGTTCAGTCATGAGACTAGTTTACCATGACTACATAGGAACATTTTTGAAAAGAAATTTGTCAGCAGTGTATTTCATTTTGGACTTAGTTTAATGATGATGTTGAAGTTTCAGCCACTGATTTTTTGTGATTGACAAAATGACTTCACTGAAAACTAAGGAACATTTTATTTTCCTTCAAATTTGAATATCAAACAACTCTAGATAGTTTTCAAGTAAAGATAAGCTTATACAATTATGATTGCTTTATATTGAATGTATTCATGTATTTGCTGTGATTTTAGGCCAATTGTATCGACTCTACAGCTGAACCTGAGGCTGTGTTTGCTGATGAAGTTAATAAATTAAAGAGTGAGAAGATTAAACCTCAAGAACAGCTGACACTAGAACCTTATGAACGTGATCATGCTGTAGTGGTAGGAGTATACAGGTACATATGAATATTATACAGGCATTGGTCCGTTTGACAAGGCTTTACGCAGTATCATTTATGCTGCTAAGAAATTTTATTGGTCCCAGAATATGCCATAAAATTTGCTTCGATTTAGGCAAGAGGTTTGGATTTGTATTTGTTAAAGATTTATGATAAATGGCATAAATATGTTTGGTAAACTGTTGCAATATCACAGCCAATGAAAGATCTTTGAATCAAAATGCTTAAATAGTAGAGTTTTTGTCAGACATAGATCAGTGTTGCATGAAAGGATTCTTTATAGCATACTGTATGTTCCATATCAAACATAAGGAAAAAAAAAAAATGAATCTTAATAGTGAATGGTAATCAATGAAATGGTTTTGTTTTTTAGGGCTCCACCAAAGAAGTAGTGTGAAACGAAAGCCATCATTGTGAGAATATCAGTGTATATACTTCATACAGACTTGTATATAGTTATCATTTGAATATGATTTTATAACAGACTTAAGCGCTAGTGTGAAAGATGTTAACAGTGGGCATTATTGTGGTCTTGATTGACAGAATACAATTAATTAATTTGGATAATTAAATCTAAATTTGGCTGAAGTTAATAGCATTCTGGGTAATGCTTGAAAACGATGTTATTTTGAAATGTATCAAGTACTTCAGCTTTTGATGCAGTTAAAAGAATAAGTTTTAAAAAAAAAAAACAAATCATTATTCAGCAAATGAAATTTGAAATGCAGTCATGAAATTTTCGTAAAGCAGGGTCCATGAAAGATTGAGTCATGAAATGCAAGTAAGCAATAAAAGGCAACATTCCTGTTGTCCATTTGTTTTGTTAAAGATTTGTTATGGAACTTCTCTATAGAATTGTTCCAAATTAAGTACACTATCAGTTGGAGGCAGTTGAATTACAGATATGGTCTTCAAAATTCTTCTTGATGTTGTTGATGCTTATGTCAAATGAGATATTCTGTAACATTCAATTGCAGTCATTATGCAGTTATTAAATATTCTTGTACATAATTAAAAAAAAAATGAAATTAAATAAATCTGTAAGGAAAAGGCTGATCTTTTATTCTCATCCCCAGTTCCAATTTCAAGTGCTTGGTGCTGTGAGCCCCCTTCCCAGCCTTGATAATTCCACCTAAATATAGTAGAAGCAATTGGCCCATTGAGGTATTGAATATTCAATTAAATTACATACATCAGCAGAGTATTCTGGACTTTATTATGGAATTAGGAATGTTCAAATTGATTTATTTTGATGATCGCCACCCCTATCTGTCTATATACATTGATCACACACTAATAGGTCCATGGCTCTGCTGATGGACGTCTTTTTTTTTAACAGTATTAAAATGCCTTTTGAATTATTAAAGTCCAAAAACCTCTTTAAGGGGACCTTGAATAAGGACGTCGTTATTGGGGGTTTCCTAAACGCCTAATGTCACTCCACGACGGTTTGTCAAGTTCACATTCCTTTCAGATATTTCATTACTATATTCATTGAGTAATGGTTGTAGTATTTTAACAAGAGTAGTCTCCCTTTATACAATTATTGGCTTAAACTCGTTCTGTGCTCGAATGATCTGGAAACCTGACCCGAAGAAAACTGATTATTGGCAATCACAGGTAATATATCATACCAAGTTCATCGCAGGAACTACACAATAAGCGCTCAGTCTGAACGCGTGCCTCTGAATCTGGAAGAATCCGACAAAAGAGGAGGAAGTTAATTGTGCATCCATGATAGTTTAGTAACCCATCTGTTGCCATGCCAATATTAGAACCTTTGCTTCATTTTCGGTATTAATAACAGCGAATAGGATGTGATTTTCCACTTTACATCTTCTGAAATGTGTAAACTAATAAACTTCCTGTAGAACTCAATTTTTTTGTAAATATTAATTTGGAGATAAAAAACAAGCTCGAGGCGAATCAAACAAGAATAATGAAAAGAAAGAGTCTTTAGGCTAATTTTGTCATTGACTGAAATATAACATTAGGTTGGCCTGCTGGTCATTGATCTAAAAGTTAGGTTTTTAAACAGGAAATGGTTAAAGAGTGGAATAACAGTAAATAGTATTAAATACTCACAGACTCTTTTGATATTTTACTTACTTCAAAAACCATGACACCTGTGTTCATTTTAACAGGTGAAATGAAACTAAATTGATAATCGGAGGTCAAAAACTACATTGCTGAGGGAAGATTCGGAGCTTTGCGTCATACACAGGTAGGATAAGGGTTAATGCTTAGAAAAGATTTGTTTATAAGAAAATAAGTAAGCCTACTGTTACATAATGGGAACAATGAAAAGGGGCAACGCCATCATCGAGTCGTCTTCGGACAGGCAATTTGGGAATTTTCACGGATACCTATTGATATTGGCCTCCTCTTTTTCCGAATAAACTCAATTCGTTTCAATTTTTATTCTTCAAGAAAAACTTGACTCAATTTATTAGTGTTGTAACGTAACATTTCAACTTAACTTAACTTAATATTTCAAACATAACTTGGGCCCATTCGCAATATGTCAAACATTACGTGAGTCCATTTGCAATATGTCAAACATTACGTGAGTCCATTTACAATATTTTAAACATAATTTCTAGTCCATTTACAATATTTATTTATAATATTTAAAACATAACTTCGAGTCCATTTACAATGATTCTAACTTAACTCGAATCAATTTATATTATTTTAAACATAACTTGAGTTTATTTACAATATTTCAAACATTACGTGAGTCCATTTATAGTATTTCAAACTTAACTCGAATCAATTTATAATATTTCTAACATAACTTGAGTTTAATTATATCATTATTTGGTTTTCAAAGAGAAAGGCATTCTTTGTTGCTTTATTTATTTATTACATGTATTTAACTTCGACTGTTATAATTGACAGTTAAATTATTTTAAAAGTTTGAACAGTAGGAAACAAACAATTTAAAATATTTCAATTATGTAGGAAAAGATGCTTCGTGTGTCAATTGCATCTGAATCGAAACAATTGAGACACGAAAATGTGAAAATGTCAGATTTGATTGAGATATCGTGATGGTTTCAAGAGGTATATAGCCGGAATTTATTGAATATATTAATTAAGTTATAAGTTGAGCATCCGTCAAATTTCATTAGAGGTCGAGTTTGAATCTTTCTTGGAATTTGGTCATCTTCATTTATTAGGTTTAATACTAAAGCGAATATACCAACTATTATCTCAAAAACTGCATGAATAATGACGCCTTATGATGATTATGCAGAAGGTTTATACAAAAAAAGATAAAAGCTATAGATAAATTAGTAAATAGATAAAAACGTTTAATTAATATACAATATACAAAATATATCTTTTAAGTTAAAAATATTTTATCAAGAAATGTATAAAATAGATGCAAATGAATATAATATAAATACAAACGTTTAATCAGGATAAAAAATGTTATGATATAAATACACACTTTTTATCAGGATAAAGAATATATAATAAATACAAACGTTTTATCAGGATAAATACAAACGTTTATCAGGATGAAGAATATTAAATACAAAAGTTTTATCAGGGAAAAAATATAAATACAAACGTCTTATCAGGATAAACAAAATATAAAATAAATACAAATGGTTAAAAAAAATAGAATAAATACAAACTTTTTATCTGGATAAAGAATATGAAATAAATACAAACCTTTTATTAGGAAAAAAAATATAAATGCAACGTTTTATCAGGATAAGAAAAATGTAAAATAGACGTAAATGTTTTATAATTATGAAATAATCATAATAAATACAAACGTTTTATCAGGATAAAAAAAAATCATGCATCAGAATTATCAGTTTTTTTTATAAAAGGGGTTTTGTCTTGATTTGGTTATATCAGGAATAAATTAATTTGCTGATGATATAACGCCTAATCAGGGAAATAAATGAATGCGTTTTTCTCTGAAAAAAATACAGAAAGTTCGTTTCTTTTTTTTTCTGCACCAAAGGACTAAATCAAGAAAAGAATGTTCCAAATTTGCAGTTTGAACATGAAAACATCACAAATTGATTAAATAAACTCAGATAATGTTCAATGTGTATCGGTATTCAAATGTTAATTTGACCTTGATTCGCATCTTTAAATCTAGTTTTCAAGTCTTTGATGATTTTCAAATGTTATACCATAGCAATTAATTTTGATGGGTTGATCGCTTTTACGAGCATTGCGTTCACTCCCTCTGATTAACTCTACGTTTTCTATTGACCTGTAAAGAACTCAGACTGATCTGGGCTTTATAGAAAAACATCTAAAGATGCGAGTTATTCAAGCATCTTCTTTAATGGTACTAATTACTCCAAGTTTAATTAGCTATTAAAATATCATTAATTTCATACTTAATGAACTTTTTTTTAACATGATAAGTGTCTTTAATTGATTATCAATATACCCAGAAATCAATCACTCATTACATTAGTTTCTTTATCATTTTATTTCTTTTTCATATACTCCCAAATTTGATTTTGTTTTTGTAAGCATCTGCTAATTAGAAGTTTTCTATGTAAAATTGTCAATCTGTAATTTCGGTGTGAATTTTCAATAAATTCAAAAAGACCGAAGTAGAACACACGAATTTTCTTACAAAAACTTACGCGTTATGTTGTGCTTGTCTTTATCACTGACACAAAGAAAGTTGGAGGAAGCATTGAACGTTTGAAATATGAAAATTTGAACAATTAAATAAACAATAGGTGCTTCGACGCAAGAGAGTTGACTCGTGCCAAAATTCCTACCGGCACGTGCGGTATGACAGTCTGCTGGAATCATACGATCATGTGCTTTGCTGTCTTCTCTATGAAAAGGAAATGTGAATGGCTGCTGTTTTGATAGTTGTTGATGTGTGTTGGTTTTGCAGGTCTGATCAATGTGGTTTTGATTAAAGGTAATAGGTATGGTATGTTAAAGGGCCGGTGTAACAAGTTGTTTTTATCGTCTGTATTATTGGTACCATATTGTTCTGTTATTCCTTTCCACAGATTTTTCTCATCTTCCGTCATTTGCGAATCTTCATTCAATTTGTTGTTGAAGTAAATTAGACCGGATTGAGATATTTTAAAAACATTAAAGTCGTTTACACCTATACCACTGACGTCTTTACTGTCGTATATCATTCTAATCTGCCGATACATGAAAGCTTCCTCAACATTCGACAATCCTTGACAGTTTCTCTAAAACTAAAACTTGCAGAGCGCAAGCAGGGCTTTCACGGAAAATCATTAGTTTACTAAAATGTTAAAAACGGCCCGGAAATGACGAATTGGTGGAAAACAGGACGTCGGATAAATTATTAGAGGTAATATTTCTATTCATATGGTTTTGTAGGCGTATGTACTCCGAAACATCAAATAGTATATTAAACAAAACCATGCCCTCACAGCAGGAATTTAATTTCAACACTTTACAAATCCGCCTAATGAATTTCTAAGGGTTAATTTAGGCTATTTACTATTATTTATCTTCGACTAACATGGGTTAATATGACATATGATGGACGCATGTCAAATATTTAATCTATGTTAAATTATATCATTATGTTCATTTACCGCTTAAATAAACAACTATTTCTGAGTATTGGCACCACCTTAACATTCTAATTTAGAATGAAATTACAAGCTAGCAATGAAACATGTTCTCAATGGGCATTTGTGCGGTTACGATTATATTTATTCCTACCCTTATGTTAGTGTTCGTTGCCCTTTTTTACTACGAATTGAGAAATAAACCTTATATTCTAAAAAGACTCGTCGAAAATAATGTACGCTATGTAGTCTTTTAATGTTGGATTTCAGTTTATACAACCCAATTTTAGCTATCCTGTATTTCTTCAGAATTAAGCCCGATGTCTGGCTCCCTTACATGGACCTACGACATTTTTATCTTCTAATATCGTTTCTGTTTGATGGCAGGGCCACTTGTCGACGGATGTAATACTGAAATGTACCATGCATAGCAAAAAATAGAGCTCTATCAACTTGTAAAGCTATTATTTAGAGGACTATGTACCTATAAA